GCCAGAACCGTTTCCCAATTTAGAACCTTTTCTTCTGATTAATATTTGTATTCCTCCCACAATTCCTCTTCTTATAGGAATTCGTACTGGGAATTATTCCAGACCTACATAATGTCTCTGAAATCTTTTTATCCCTCTGTTTGCTGATCAGTGGAAAGGATTTTAATGCCAGGTTAGGTAATCGAGATAAATCCTAACTTCATCTAACTTTATCCCTCGACTATGTCTTGGATATTCTAGAAACATTTTTTGTGATCCATAAATAAATTCACACAGGATTTTGATTAATCTTTTTTTGCTCTTATTTTTCTAGCGAAGCCTCATTACATTAAACGGGAGATCAAACAGAGTGAATTACAGCTTCCACTATTCCACTTGCACTAGTTTGTTCAGTGCCACACCTTTTTTTGTTGAAAACATCAATAAGCTCCAAAGAGAACCTTTCGTGCACAGCTGGACACGTGCAGTATATTTTAGTACCATCCTGAGGCAGGGATGGCTTCTTCCTAATAATGCCTTCTAGCCCCATTCAGTTATTTGAGTGAGCTTACATAGCAGCGCGGAGTATAGGCTCGTATAGTTCACTTCTCAGTGCCCTTCATTATCAAGTAGATGGAGCTAACCAAGCCTGTTCTCTGGTGGGTGCTTGGAGCCAGCAAAGACACGAGGATGCTGCTGCAGGCTGGGAGAGGTGGGGCTCCTGGCTCTGAGCTGCATCACAGCACTGCAGTCCTGTGGGCTGGTTCCTTCTGTTTCTGTGTGCCCTCGTATTGGACACCTCGTGGCCATGAGCCAGCTGCTTCACATGCACTTAAGGAAAAGCTTCACCAAAAAATACGTATCCCATTTGGAAAGCGATCTGACCTTATGTGCAGGCAGTAACAGGGAGCTGGTACCTCGTTAGCCATTTCCTTCTGACACTGTTAGTCTGAACCTCCTGCTGAAATGAACCCAGAAGTCAAAGTTTCCTTCCCAAGAAGAAAACTTTGGTTTGTGTGACTGCCAGATGACAACTCGGCACCTCGGAGCCAGTGGGTTAAATGAGCCCAGGGATGGTGGTGACTTCAGTTCGTTAGGAGAACTGGACTGCGCGTTACCCCTGACAGTCCTACTGATAGATGGAATGGAAAAAACCCTCCCTTGCTTTGACCCAGAGTTGCTCTTTTCTCTGATGGTTCATTGATTCCCTTTGCTTCCCTTCTCATTTAACAGATTTTATAAGTTGGGCATTTACAGATCTGCTGCTATTAACATTCAGTGTTAGTGGACCCGGGAGCTTCTCTGCCAACTATTGCAGAGCTTCTGAGCCTGCTGATTTAAAAATGTTCATTGCTGATAGATTCTAACATCTTTCTCAGTTACTAATAGACTGGAAAGTATTTCATCATCTTCAAGCAATGAAAGCAAATCATCCTTCTTTCCAAATACTGAATAAAAGTCTGTTTGAACACTTCTGCATTTTCTGCATAATCCTTCACAATTCTACTGCCTGCACCGAGCAGTGACCCTGTACTGTTGCTAGGGTTTCTTCTGCAAACACAACTTTCTTGTACTAAGCTCCGTCAGCCATGGATTTTATTCTGAGGTTTCTTTGTTTCATGCTTCTGTTCATGTAGGTCAAGAGTTTTCCTGGCTATTGATTTACGACGAGGTAGATGCAGTGCTAGTGTTTGACATTTCTGTATTTGTTTTTGTTTGCTGATATGACTAACAAACGTTAACCACGCGAGTCAATTGTTTTAAGATTACATGCTGAGTATCTGGCAGTCTATTAATTTTTGCTTTTTTTTTTTTTTTTTTTTAAAGTGCCAGGTAAAATGCCCAAAGAGCCAGGAATAATATACCATTTCCCCAGTGTTCACATACATACGTGTATCTTTGTAATAAATATTTGATATTGTATACATATAAATATATGTATATATAACCTCCCCAGTAGCAACCCAATATAGTACATTTTTGACAACCTGGAGTCTTTTAATATTTGAAGTAGGGGCTTGCAATATAGCAAAGGAATGACCCTGGTGAGAGATGTGCATTTCTTTTTTTCCCTTTGAAATCTGACATGTCACGAGTCTCATTGTGTTAGTCTATGTGTGTTCTGCTGAGACTTGCCAGTGTTGAGCGATGTATTCCACAGAGACCTTGTCCAACAACAAGCACCATCCTGGCTTCAGGCAGGAGCAGAATTTTACCTGCAATGCACAGCAGAGGAGCCAGCACTGGCTGGCAGAACTCAAAAACAGTGCAGATAGGAGGACATAGAAAGTATGGAGAAATAGTTGTAAATCAGGGAGAGAAGCAAAAATATGGGGACAGGGAAAGTCTGTAGGGTAGGGGCAGAAAGAACAGTGCTGGTTCCTGTGTGTTCCGTTAAGAATGTGGAACCGAGTTCAACACCACACAGTGCCTCTCATGCAGATGTAGCAGCAAATACATGAAACCACCAGCACAGCATGTGTGTTCAGATTCAATCTACTTTAGGTCTTTATAAAGGAAGACAGCGACTTACTGTTACCAAGAATCTCGTTATTTGAAGGTATGAAGACCCAGAGGAGGATTAGGATAGCAGAACAGCATCTCTTTGGCCACGGTACCTTGGGAAGAGCTCTGCAGTGCACGGGGGGCAGTGCTACCTGTGCTGCTTATGTCTGGAGAGGCATCCTGGTACAGCTTCAGCAGGGCTGGAGGTACAGCAGGCAGTAGAACAGGGTTGTTGGGAATCTGCCCCCTCTTTCACATGCTGTTTGTGCTCTGCAGACACTTATATTCTCTGTGCTACATCACCATATGTTGGAGGTCCTCATTCCTTCATCAGAGCTGTTCTCATGTTCACTCCGGCCTCCTTGCACCACTCTGCTGACACTGCACAGAGTGTATGGGCAGAGAAAAACGCAGAGTACATATCAATAGAAATGCATGCATGCAGCTCATGGTGCATGGACTAACAGACCCCCTGCCGCAGTGCTGTATCCTCTCTTTCTGCTCACGTGTATTTGCTTTGGGCTGCACATTTCTGCAACCACAAGCTGTCAATTAGAAATCCAGCAAATTATCCAGGCTGAGAATACATATTTATCTTACACTCTAAGTTTTTTCTGTAGCACCCCCAACAGGTGACAAGGTGGTAGCATGATAGCAGGGTATGCTGCCCTTGGATTTGGCTGTGTAGGTATTTTTTGTGTGTTCTTTATACCTTAGAGCCCAGTGGCTCTCTTTTCTCATAACTACCGTTACAGCACTTTCAATCTGAGGGGCTTTCCTGTGCTGAACCTTTGTCTTGCACTCTCACCACTGTGTCTCTTCATTTTCATTAGTAGCAGATGGAGCGTGAGTCCCAGTTCTTCCTTTCCATCCTTGCTGCCAAGAGATCTCTGGTGCCTAGGCATATTTTGTAGATACTTAATTTTCTGCTAGTTTTCATCCAGTGATTTTGGTTAATTTTATCCATGTACATAAAATTATTTTGTGAGTGACACTTTTCATTTAAAAATCCTGCTGAAAGCTAGGTTTACTAACCTGATTCCAGTGAAAACATTTAATGCTTCCTCTTTTCAAATTTGAACCTCATTATTATTTTTCTGTAATCCACTTTTAATTGTAAGTACCCAGCATTCTGCCAGTTCACGCGGCACCAAATGACACAAGGTTGCTCTGGAGTGCTCCAGTGAGCATCTTCTGGGGAATATTGAAATTCAATGGAAACAACATGAGAACCATTATCTGAAACAGTCTCTTCAGGCAAACCATATGGGGTGAAATATTCTGCACTGCTTCAATAATCTGAGCACAGATATGTTCACTGGTAACTCTGCAGTAAGCATCACTCATTTGCTTTGTCTGTGCAGTATTAATGAGCCATTTCAATAGACAGCAGGTTTCAACTATATTTGGTGCATATTCATGTTGCTTCCTTCAAGTTGTTTCAAAACTCCTTTCCCTAGATTAACTAGAAAGTCTCAGTTATCGTGTCAAGTGCAGGGTACCAAAGACAAGGGTCATCCTGTCCTTTCCAGTCTTGGCTGAAGAGTGGGGCTGGTGTTTGGAAGAGAGATGGTGTGGTAGGCGTGCTGCCTTTGCTGAGCCTTCCTTCAGCAGAGAGGCTCGGCTGCTGCTTTCAGCAGTGTTTGCCAGGGCTACTTCTTTCTGAACACGAAAAACCTCCATCTTATTTTGTGGTTCATCTGTCACATGGGGTTTGTGGTTGCTAGCAAGCAGGGGAGCCTTACAACTCTTCTTACAGATAGACTCACGTTATTGTCATGGAGGAGTGAGAAGATGGTGAACTCGAAATGGAGAGCACAGAAGGAAAAGCTGTATGTTTTGACTGGCCTGATCTGTGCTGTGTTTCTAAATACCTATCTGTGCTGCTGTTCTGATGTGCTCAGGGGAGCTGAATTGCCCCAGACATTGGTGCAGGTATTTGCAGAGCCTCGTTGTGCATGTATGCAGCATATTCCACTGGGCTGATAAACTCCAAAGAACGGTGTCTGAGAACCAAGATGTACAGAGAGATCTGTGAGGGGTGCCAAAAGCCCAACAGAGGGTTCTGGTTAGTACTGAAAACCATGTGGAGGGTTCCAGGGAGTGGAAAAGTCACTTGAAATTTAAGAAATATTTTGATTGACACCCTTTTCTCTTTGTCAGCATTCAGCAACCTTCCTTTATGGTAGTGCTTTTTTTGTGGTAACTGTAGGGAGCTTAGCCCAGACAACAGCTGAAAGAATGTATGAATAGATTAGCAAGGTCACTCAAAGGTCTTTCTAGGGAAGGGCATTCACACTGCAATCTTGAACTAACCACTTCCCAAGAAAGTCAACTCAGGTATTTAAACAGCACCACAAGGAAAGAGGTTGAGGGTTGCCAACACCAAACTAGGTTAGTTTATGTGCCTTGGTTGCTGGTAGAAAAAGAGGTTTTTTTAATTGCAGCTCTTTATTTATACTATGTTCTCTTCACAAAAAAAGATGAAATAGAAAATAAACTTATGATTTATCCAGCAGGATGGAACTGGCAATGCTGTGGCTGAGGGAGGCGGAGGTCAGCAGCCGAGGGCTGGAGCAGGAGACACATCCTCGAGTTGCAGCAGCGCAGTTTGATGCTGTGGTTGTGCCAGGGCTGCTGGGAGAAGAGCTGGACTGGCTGAAAACTGCAGTCCTCTCAAGCTGGTGGAAGAGCTATGGGTGAGGGTTTTTTCCTCTTCTTTTTTGGGAACAATCTTTGGAAGAGAAGGAACAAAGACTAATGACAAGCACAGATGTCTGTGAGGCTGTCCTCCACCTTTTCAAATCCTTGTATTTCTTTTTATATATTGTTAGAAGCAAGTTTTATTGCAATGTCTTTTCCTTCTCTGTAAAAAAAGAATTGTTAACATCGCACAGTCTATCTCCAAGGCTGTGGTGGCCCTGCTGCTCCTTTCCTTTCCCTCTCTGGAAATTGCAATAATTTTAAATATCCTCTTGGAGCTGGGGCAGCTTCTCTATTCCCAGGAGCAGACAGCCCTCTACCTTGGCACCGGCTCTTCTTTGGTGTTGCTGCAGCTTACTAGAGAGGTTTGGCTCCAGTCCTCCTTGCACTGAGAGCTGAGTGCTATGAGGAGCTCCTCAGGGCTCCCCCAGCTGTCAGCTGTGTACAGGGATGTGGTTGCTGGTGCCTGGGGGAGCTGGGGGGAAGGATGGCTCCACCACTGCCGGTGTCCAGCTGCTAATGCTATTCCATGTGTCAGCAGCCTTGGGGACAGCTTGGGGAGCAGGACAGAGATGTCAAGGCCTGTGCCTGGGTTCTTCTGATGGCTTTGTGAGCTCAGAGGTGTCCCTGGCAGGGGATGTGCCCATTGCTGGGGCTCCCCAGCTGCCCACTGCCACCAAGGGCTGTATGTGGTTGGGAGTAATGCTGTATTTGGTGCCTAGTGGCTGCGTTTGCTAACAATCTTGGGTGGTGCTAAATAAAATAGAGATTTTGTGCCGTTGCATTCACTCAGCTGCCAGGCAGGGTATTTGGAGAGCTGCTGGAATCCCAGACTCCTCCCAGTAGTAAGCCAGTTCATAGCCACCATTTGCTGGGTTGGAGTTTGGGATAGGAACTTGACCTGGGACCTGGAATGTTGGAGATACTAAGTGGGTCTGATTCTGCCTTTGTTTACTGAAGAGTAGCTTTCAGTGCAATTTGTGCTGTTTTTCCTCAGTGAAGCAGTAGAAGCCCCTGTGAGGCAAGGAGCATAGTACTGATGGTGCAGGGAGCAATGGAGGATGTGGGCACAGCAGGAGATGTTGAATAGGTGCCCCAGAATGATGACTGATCAATGCTAAACCTCAAGGTGGCTCGAGGGGCCTGAGCATCTCATTATTGGTGTGTCAGTTGATCCCAGAAGATCCATGGAAGACCTGGTGGGGACTTGCTGCTGCTAGCCAGAGGCACAGTTATCCCAGGAAAGTCTGAAAGGCCCCCACAGCCAAGGTGGTGGGTTGGGGTGCTGTCTTCAGAGCTGTGCATTGAGAGCACAAGGTGTGGTTGCAGAAGCAGCAGCTGGAGCATGGGAAAGGCTGCTGGGGTCAAACAAGCAGGAGCACAGTTAAATCTGAGATGAAGATTTTTCTTCCCAGTGACTGAGAGGGACACTTAGAGGGCCTGGCACATCTCTTGCAGAAGTTTAGGGCTGCAGGAGGGTTGCCCTCTGCGGGGATTAGCTGCTGAGTTGAGGCTGCTTGGAGGGGGCATTTGGCTTCTGGACTTTGTGCTGGGCATGTGGGCTTTGTGCCTGTGGGCATGTCTCACTGCGTTGGCTGGGACGAAAGGTAGCAGCTGGCTCGGCCTTCCACTGCCAGATGCTCTTCACTGTAGATAAAAGCTTTTTCTGGTTATTCTAGCTCCCATGACTGTCAGGGTTCTATAAATGGCAGAGGCTGCCACTGTGGGTCAGCCCTGTGGGAAGTCTCATCTTGTCCATCTGCCCCAGGAGCAGGCTGGCAAACCATCCTCCTTTCCTAAATGCGCCGCAAAAACAGGCATCTCAGTGCTTGAACTGCAACCTACCCGAGAAAGCACCTCTGAGCCTATGGATGTGTTTTGGGTGAGCTTTGGGAGAGCTTTTGCCTGGCCCAGCCAAGCCTCCTGGGTGTCTGAGATGTCTTAGGCTTGGCTGCTGGAGCAGAGGGTCAGAAACCCACTGAGCGCTTTTTCATGCCTGCCTCTACTTGGGTGACAACAGGAGTCTGAGTACCACTAGTTGTAATGGAAGTGTTGGGAGTAGCTATCCTGCTATTTTTCTGTTAAAACCCATATTTTCTTTTCTTAGATGCTTGCTGCTAACTGCTTTTTCACCTCTTGTCCACCCCTCCACCAGCCGCTTGGGGCCACCATTTTAGACTTCAGCTGGAGCTGCAAAGCGTTAGTGATCTTGTTTTCCAGAGATCGTATTTGAAGTAGAAAGAACTGGATTTTGCCTTCATTTACGCCTCAAGGAGCTGCCACAGGGGGAGGGGCCAGTGTTTGCCAGCTTGCTCTGCTCCCTGCAGCCCTCACTGCGGAGCCGTGCCACAGGAAATGCTGAGCAGGAGTCAGGCATGAGAGCATCGTGCTGGGTTGGTTTTGCTCTTGGAAACAGAAGGTGGAGCAAGCCACAACTGAGACAAGGTGACTTTTGGTTTGGTGCATGTTTTACTTAATCCTTGCTAACATATCACAGAAGCAGCCCTTGCCTTTCTGCTGATCCCCAGCTTGTCTCACTCCCAGCTTTTCTCAGGAAAATCTCATTGCTGTGTTTGTAGAGCTAAAAGAGGGCAGCCAAAAACCGTGGTTGTCCTGCTGCAACAGCTCCTATTTCTTTGCAGTGCTGGAAAGAGCCGCTTCTCCTTCTTTACCGGTGCTACCTTCAGCCCAGCTTGTGCCATACTCCATTTTATCAAGGCTGCAACAAGCACGGCTCTTACAGAACTCCAGTCTTTGTTGCAATGTGCTTCATAAACACTGCAGTTAAATAGATGGTAGAAGGCATTTTTTCAGGGGAAGGACAGCAGGGCATCTGGAAGGACAGGGGCCCTGCCAGCTTAATTGGAAGTTAAACAGCAGTTGCTGCAGGGACTGAGTTGTGTGATAGCAGGAAACCTTAGTGGCTTTTTTTGTGTCCACATAACTCACTGAGGCTTGGGAACAAGCTCTGGCAACCCCATCTGCTCTGGTTGGACCATGCTCATCTCTGCACTTAAGTTTCATCTTGTTGCTCTTGAGGAGAAGTCTTTTCTAAAGAGTTCCTTATTTGGAAGCCTTAATGAGACTTTCTTTAAAGAGTAAGGAGGTGAGACTTAAGCACCAAGATGGACAGTGGGGATCAGACCCCACCAGACAAGCTATCACAGCAAAGCAAAGCCCAACCAGGGTGGCTGAGGTTGCCAGACCTTGCTCTCCAGCCCCAATGGGTTGTGCAAGGACAGCTGAAGGTTTTCTGCTTCCACATAACCCGGTATCTTTGGCAATCACTGTTCTTAAAGTGCTCTGGATAGAGCTAGAGTGCATTAACAGGTCAACCCTATTTCCCAAAGGGAATCCCTTTGTAATTTTTGTGGGTGTTTACAGTTGGTTAGAAGTCAACTAGTTGCATCTTGATTTGTGGGCAGGATACTCAGGGAGCTGGCACTGGTGTAGAACTACCAATGCTGTGTTCCTCCGGGATGCAGCTACAGCTACTGCAGCTGGCATCAACACATGTCTTGTCTTCCTCTCCAATCCAGCTGTTTAGGCTGAATCACCACTTTGCTGTTGGGAAGAGCTGAGATGTAAAACTGCCAGAACTTATTTGTGTCTTCTGCTACCTACATTACCCAAACGTGCACTCACCTCCTCAGGTGCAGGCTGACTGTGCCTGCTGGGAGCTGCAGCCAGGCAAGGGCAGGAAAGCTGCTTCCCCCACGCAAGTGCACTGGATAGTGTAGTAGGAGGCAATGCAACAGATAGGGGGCTGCTTCTCCAGTCTCTGGGAAGAAAGTGAGGCAGGGCACACATCTCTTCTGTCTTCCTGAATTTCTGTTATTGCTTGTCCAGTGTAGGACATGCTGCAAAAAAAGGAAGGCAGCTTAATTGCCTCCGATCTAATCCTTCCTTGGGCACCCAACCCTTGCTGTCAGAACTGAAGCAGGGAGTTTGTCACCTCTGGCTCTGCTTGTGCTCTGCTGGAAAAATGATATATGAGGGGCACAGCTTCTAGCAGCAACCCTTCCTTGCTGATAACTGCAGGGAAACCTAAGCAATACTAGTAATCTGGCTGTAGCTGCTAAGAACCAGGTAAAGCAAAGAGATGAAAAGCCGAGATGGAGATTTTGGGGGGGTGTTCCATTCCTCCTGTGCTGCCACACATGGGTAGGGGCTGCCTCAGGCTCTGATCCTACAAGGAGAGTGTCCTGGCTGGCAAAGGCAGCCTTGGTGCAACCCGAGGAGAAGCAGTAGAAGAGATCAGTTTTGGGGAGTTGAGTTGTATTTGTTTTTTCCTTATCTCTTTCTCTGCCCTACAGTGTTAAGGTCTGCAATGAAAGCAGGATCCATGCCAAGCAGGATGGAGCACTCCAAGGGGTCACAGCAGAGGGCTGCATCTATGAGAGCATCTTGGAGCCACTAAGATGGTGCTGACATCTGAGAAGATTTTTCTGGTGATTTTTCACCATGCTGTTCACTGCTGACACCACCTTCCTCACTGCAGGGTAAACCCCTTCAAACCAGAGAGGCCCCATGTGCATTCTTAGGGGTGAGACCCATGGAGGGCTCGTGAGGGAATCAAAGCAAATGGGGGGACTTGAGTGGTGGGGACACCAAAAAGTAAATAGATACCCCCGAGGGGCATCAATGGGGACACGCAGAAAGAAATGGAGGGTGCTGAGGGCCATTAAAAGCAGGCTGAGATTTATAGGGAAGGTACCAAAAGGTTTAGAGTAACCCAAGAGGCACACAAAAGTCCTGGGAAGCACAGGGATGGAAATGGAGGAGCTCTGGGGGCACTGAGAACCACTTGGAGGAGCAATGCTGGAGCAGAGGAACAAACAGCAGTGCTGATTTTCTTCTTGTTTCTCCAGCAAGCTGGAGAACTGCAAAAGCAAACCAAAAGGTCGAGAGGACCAGAGGGATTTGGGGCACCAAGACAAAGATCTAGCACCCTGGGGGCTCTAAAAACTACATGTGGGGATGTGGATGGCACCATAAAAGGACAAAAGTCTCTGGGGACACCAAAGAGGGCTCTGGAGGAGCTCCGAAACCAAAGGAGTGACGTGCATAAGAGGAGTCCTGTGTCTGTCCTTTCTCCTCCTGCTCTGGCATCCAGGTTGCGGCTAAATTTCACAGTGTATAAGTGTCCCAAGAGAATTCCCCTCTTGTTCGTGCTATGGAAGGGAAACATTCCTGTTTCCACTCTGATCTTACAATGGCTTGTCAGTGACAAAACATTCCCAAATCCTCTCATTTATCAAATGGCCAATCCTGTTAACAGCTTAAGAAACATAATTACCTGCAATCTCTTCTGCTATTCATTTTATGCCTACACTTCCCTCTTGTTGGCAGCTTACCAGCAGGCAAGACGAGAGCTGAAGCAGGGCTGCAGCCACAGAGCACTTCAGCAGTGCAATTTCCCTTAATCACCTGCACGGTGATCACGGGAGTTTTGCCTTCCCATTTGCAGCAGCCAGAAGCAGGTGAGGAAGTAAAGCACAGAGCCAAAAGCATCAGCTAATGTGCCACCAGATGTGTGCAGGTTTTCAAGCACGGTTACGTTTTCGGTGCTGTTCCACCTGTAAAGTGGGAACTGTGTCAGGATGTGCTTTTAGAGTACGTGGTATCGCAGCCAGCTTTATGTGCCTTGGAGATAAATGTGCATGGGTGGGCTCAGAGAGGAGCAGCAAGAAATCACAAAAGCAGAGCCCAAAACATGAGTGAGCTGGTGAAGTAATGGGGGAGGAGGAAGGGGAATCGGGGTCAGCAGGAGGTGGTAGGAGGTCCTGTTTGCTGCGCTGCTAAAACGGTCTGAATTTATCTTATTTTACAGTGCATCTACTGCTTGTGTGAGATTTTACGCTGTCTCATTTGGATTGTATCTCAAGGAGGATTTAGAGGAGCTTGCAAGCTGGAGATCTGCTGACTTCCCAAAGGTTGGTTACATACAGGACAGCTGAAGCCGGAGAGGAACGCCTGTGACCACAATAGCTTCTTCCTCCCGCCTAGGGACTAGAAAATCTCTGGGTCTGTCCCACTCACACAGCTGCTGAGGAAGCTATCTTTCGTGCCTTTGAATCTTTCACTACCCTGACATTATCAGTGTACATTTAACTGGCCAAGACACATCCTTGCCTGCGCTGTCTGTTTAGACCCATTTCAGTTTTGAAGGATTTTTGTTCTTCGCATACACTACCTCTCTTTTCGACCATATCAGCTATTTCTGATCCTCAATGTTTTGGATAAGTGATATACATTTCTTCTGACACTTTCATGTGTTATTTTTAAGCTGTGTTTATGCTTCTTGCCAACATTTTATCCTTGCGGTTCTTTGAATTTTGTATTAAAAACCCTATGAACAAACTGTACACAATTCAGATCTTTTTAAAGTCAGCCACCGTCTTAGGGGATTTCAGGCTTTTTCATCCTGCTAAGATACTGAATTCAAGTATATCTTGGTCACTATTAGTGAATAACCCTTTCCTAATAGCACTTTGAACCTCCAGTGCTGAATTTGAATTGGACATTAGACATTTGAATTCAGCATTTGAATTTATGTTGACTGAATTTGAGTGCAGCCTGAACATGGCCTGGACCCAGGAGCTGAGGAACTTGGGTGGCTCTGGGCTGCCTGGCTGGAGCTGTGCACTGGTTGGGAGCAGCCAGGAGATGCATAAGAAAGTAACTGAGACTTTAAACAGAGCTTGAAACAAATTGAGTTCCTATATTTAACAATGTCTGATATATATAAAGGGAAATTAAAAACTGCAAACAAATAAACCGTACCTAAAGAAAGCAAAAACTGCCCCAATAATAATAAAAAAGTAGGACATCTGTGTTTTTGTACAAGAACTTGTGTTTCTTTTATGACATTTTCTTCAAATCATGTAAGCCCTTCAGAGCAGCTCTAATGCCCACTGGAGTTCTCCAACCTAAATGTCTTGTCGTCAGTGTAAGGAACAAAGATAATATAATTTGAATGCTGGATGCAACAACATAGGCTGCTCTCGAGGCTGATTCTCTCTGCTCCAGATGGGAATGATGGCTCCAAACAGACTCACCAGAACAGACTGAGAAGCAGACATCTCATTTGTGAGGAAATGGTCAATATTTCAGCTCTTTTCTTCCCGTTTGTTTCTTTGTAGAAAAAAAAACAACAACAACAAAACCAAACAAAAAAAACCCACAAAAAATACAAAGCCCCTCACAGTTGCACACAAATGCTGCTATTTCAAAGCAAATTTTAAAACATTTCTGATTTGCAAGTGGCATTTCGGCATTTTTGTGAGAATAAAATACTGTGGTGCTGTGTTTAAATATTTCATTCCAGCTCCTTGAACAAACTTACAATCTTATAATAAGTTTTTTTGTTGGTTTTTTTTCTGACATTAAAGCGTGCTGCTCTGTGGTACCGATAGCTTAGGCATCTCCAGCTCCAAGTGCAGCCACAGGAGCCCTCCCTGCTCACAGCTGATCAAAGGCAAACCACACTGCCACCCACGAGCCACCGCTTGTCCTCAGCATCCAGCCCAGGAGAGAACACAAATCCCAAATCCCCCCGAGCCCTTCTTCCCTAGAAGCAGCACCATCCGTGAGCAATACACACTGCTGTTGTAACCCTGCTGTGAAAAGGTGGAGCAAGTTCAGTAAACAAAAATACTTTGCCTTGGTTCAAATTGTGGCGAAACAAAACATCAGCCAGCGCTGGCTGTTCAATTAAACTGTTTGTAGTGCAGGCTTTGGAGGGGAAAATGCTGAAAAAAGGATTTGGGGATCATATGTATTGCATGGAGAAAACGTTTAATGAGAAATTTTCCAAACCTCTTTGCAGCTCGCAGGCAGCACTCTTCCCCTGCATGTGACATGTGCATCGCCCTCAAATTCAGAGGATGGCTCACAGCTGCTGTGACTGCAACCAGGATGTATCTGGGGCTGAGAGTTGCCCATGGGAGCCAGGAGGTGAGTGTCCTATGTTTGGATGTGCCTGCTGAGGGATACTCCATCCATAGCCCCGCTGCAGCCATCCCTGTTTTCTGGGGGCAAGTGGGTCAGAGAGAACATCCCTGTTACACCAAGAGGCCTCTTTGACATTTCAAGTAGCATTTCTAAATGCTATTTGTGTCAGACATGCGAGCTGTCCAAACACAGTGCCAGGTTTGGTGTGTTCCTTCTGCTTTTTACCACTTCTAGCAAAAATTCCCGCTGATGCCACGTTGCTGTAGCCTCCATTTCTTGATCCCCACATTCTCAGAAAGATGCATTTTAAGGTGCATCATCTTCCCTCAGCTAATTCAAAATTACCTGCTAAGAAAGAGCCAGGATTCTTTCTGTGTGCTGGGTTTGTGTAGCTGGCATTGTTCTGCTTTCCAAGCCCCTTCCTGGGGTCGAGCTCTTCTTACGCTGACTCTCCTTAGTCATGTAGTTCAGGTCCTTTCTAATGTTTGGTTAGCAACTACACTTTTTCCACACATCAGTTGTGAATGTTTCTCATCCAGAAGCTCTCAGAATATCATGTTTTAGTTAATTCTGTATGTAATTCTGACGCGAGAGCAAGAAGCTGTTGTTCTTATCCTAGAGGACTCAACAGATCTGTTTTCAGAGATGCTGAGTCTCCTCTTCCTCAGCATTTACCCCGAAATACCCATTTTCTCCCTTTTTCTGGAGCAGTGCTGCACCACCACTCTGCTATGGGAGCTGCTGCACTGTGCCCCAGATTGCAGCTGAAATCTTGATGCCGGCTGAGCCCCAGGACTCCCAGCTCCTCCCGCTTCTTCCCTTGCTCTTCACGGTGATAACCCGTGCTGGCTTTCCTGGGGCCGAGATGATCTGTGATGTCCCTGTGGTGGTGGTGGCTCTCCCAGGGTCCCCTATGAGCCATTTTGTGGTGTAGAGCATCCTGACACCATCAGCTGACCTCAGGACATCGGTACCCATGGTAGCACCTTGCTACTGGGGATCCTGCAGAAACCAACAACCAATGTGGGTGTCTGGGGGCACTCTGCAGGGCAATGCCAGGAGAGGACAGGGAAACTTGCCGCCTCACCCAACCACCAAGCTGCCTTAGGAAGGCTTGTATTAGCACAAGGGCGCTTTGCATCCCTGCCGCTCTGAGCAGATCTGACGGCTCTCGATGCGTGCGAATGAGGCCGCAGCCAGCACGCAGGGAGGATGCAAGCAAGCACAAGTTAGTGCTTGTGTTTGCCACTGATAAATGTATTAGTCTTTAAAGCGGTATTTAAACTACAACCCTTTTTCAGGCACCTCAGCACTCCGTTATTTTGCAGGCCTTGTAAAGGAATGTGATTTTGCCTTTTAACTGGAGTGTATCTTATGCTAAGCAGTGAGATTAAGCGTAGGGATCCAAAAGAAGTTGCTGAATGGCAGAATTGCCTTTATAAATAACATTAATAATTTATCCGATCCAGGGGTTTTTGGGTAAATGAAATACCTGCCTCTGTATAAAGCCCACTGAATAGGAACACATCTCCGCTTTTATGAGGCTTGGATTAAAGAAGGGAAATGCTAAGGGGCTTATCTTCGCTTCAATTTGCAGCCCTTCCGGCTAATGGCAAACTCATTTAAGAAGCTCCTGTGTTTGTGCCAACTCTGCCTTTATTCTCGGTGCCGGAGCTTGGCTGCATTTCTCGCCGCAGTGCTGGAGAGAGCAGAGAGGAAGCAGTTTGTTTTCGTGACCTCAGATTATCAGACAAAAGCCAGTGAGAATAATTTTGCTGGAATGCTCCCTATTACGAATTGTTTAAAGCGTGGTGGCTGGCGAGATGCTGACGGTGTGGGCTTTTGCCCCACCTGCTGAAGAGGACAGGGCTGTTGGCTGAGCTGGGACGAGACGAAAGAGCAGCTGTCATCTCTCTTCCGAGACACCTCTTCTTCATGCACAGACAGTTGTGAAATGGCAAAACCCATCCTCTACAAAAACCACGAGCGGTCGCTTTTCAGCTTTTCTTTTATGCCGGTAAAATCAATTGCTTCAAAGTTCACTGAAGGTGAAGGCAACATTTGCTTTCCATTCAGAGCTAAGCGGGCCATCTTCGAGAGCAAACGCTCGCAATAGGGAGAATAGCAAAAATCAGCAGAAAAAGTCTCTGAATAATTTGAACTGGGAGAGGAAAAAGCAATTTGCTCCCAGTTATTCCACAGACAAAAGTATGAATAAAAAAATCATGAGCTATTTACCCTGCCCAGGCTATTTGCATGAGTTTTATGCTATTCCAGTTTTGCTTCCCTGACCCCCAAAGACCTTATCACTGGATCCTCAAGGCACTTCAGTAAAAAAAAAAAAGCATGCTCTTTTTCTTTTCTTTTTTCTTTTCCCTTTTTGTTTTGCATGCTGGATCAGCAATGACCAAAAGCAGAGAAAACAAAAAGGGGTCTAAATCTGAACTGTGCTGATGCTTGCATGTGTGTTGACCTGGATTAGAGACCTGGACTCTGGCCTGCCAACTCTATCAGCATAGAAATTTTGTTCAAAACAGTATTGTAAGTTTGTGTGCTTTGCTTTCAGATAGCGAGGCTGTGGCAAAGGCATGCGGGTATTTACAATCTGCTTTAGGAAAACCTGATAGAAGTTGTTAGCTGCTCTGTTGCAAAGGCAGCTTATGTCACCCACATCTGCTGCTGAAGGTAGCCCAGCCAGACGGCTGGCATGGCACGAAGTGCCAGCATCCACGCTGGCTGCAATGAGGAGACGAAAATGAAAGAAGGATGAAGACCTCACAAGCTTTATCAGAAGCCACCAAAAAGTTGGGAGATTTGGGGATTACATCGTGTAATTATATTACCTTAAAGAAAAGTTTACTGAAGATTCCCTGTTTTGTGTTGCCAGCTCTTTTCAGCCATTAGTAACACATAACTTCTCATTGTCTTTTCCCGAGGCACAGATGGGCTAATTTTCAGCTACCTGATAATTACACATTGTTTGAAACTGTATCAAAAGCTTCTGTTCCTGCATTTCTCCAGCAGCTGTGCTACAGCTCACCAAGTCCCTTGATCACGGCTTGCAGGAGCCCTCATCCATCCATCTGTCTGGAACGGAGTGGCAAAGCCTCCATGGTCACATTCACACTTTGCAGGTTGCTGGGATTTGCTCTGCTGTCAAGGTGGGTGGAGTGCCTAAAGCCCACTGAGAGCATCTTCTTGGCTCAGTATCAGCACCTAAGGTTAATATGGGGATACTGCTGCATTGAAACATGTCCACTTGAATATGAGTGGGGATGCCGACGTCATGGCGAAATTAAGGGTAAAGGAACATGAGATGCTGGAAATCAGCATAACAATGGTTTAACCTTGATTTTACTTGGGCAAAGCTGTGGATGTGGCCACACTCCAGGGATGCCAAGTTGGAGAAATGTGGCCCGTTGTCTGCATGGAGAGGAAGGGCCATGGTCCTTTCCCTAGAGTGATGGTTGGAGCTGGAGAAACCTCCTCTCCTCTTGATCCCTCCTCTTTGAGAGAGGTTACTCTGCCAGTTGAGCTCTGATTGGTTTTAGAGGGCATTTTCTCACTTTTTTTGGGCTGTCCCATGGGAAAATGCAAGAGGCCTCACGTCTGTGTTTTCTGCTTCCCCGCCGTCGTGTATGCTTGTTGCCATATCAAAGAGGGAAATTAAATTGGGTTGACATGACTGGCTCTTGACAAACCAATGTTCTTTGATTTTATTCATCATTTTACATCTTACAAGTTGCTCGTTTAATACTTTCTTCTAACCTCTTGAAGGGAATTGAGATTGAGTTGATTATTCCAAATTTTCTTAATGTCTCCGCTTTAAAGAAAGGTGCTTCTCTCATCTCCAGGGACCTCTGTGCCTTCATAAATTTTGAAGATAATCACCAAGAGTTCAGTGTTCCTGGGTGCATCTTATCAGATCCTCTCATTCTGAATACATTTGATAAATCCGAACGGCTTTAAACTTCTTTCCTTTTGTTGGCCTTCTTCACTGTTCCCTTCAAAGGTGGTTCTGTTAAGCTTCATTCACAATTAACCTTTTTTTAAAGCCTGAAATGAAGAAGAGGAGGCAAATTCCTGCTTTGAACAGTTGGTCAGCGCTCTGTCCTTCCCCAGACAGTTCTGCACCTACAGGTCTTGCTGTTCTCATTTTACAGCTAATGCATTTGCAGACCCTGGCTGTTTTCCCCTGAAACCTTGAGCATGCAGCCTTAGCTGCTCGCATGCTGCGAACCTGTATTATTCCTGTATTCTACCCCCAGCACATGCCTGTTTCCACTTTCTATACAATTTCTTTCCAGCTTCTAGACCCTGATGCTGCTGTAATGCCATCTAATTATGCTTCTTATCTGCTTTCACAGGGGAGCAGTTTGCTGTTGTGCACCATCTCTAGTCTCTTCAGGGAACTGCCAATTCTGCATTTCCTTACAGCATATTTCCATCCAAGAGAGCTTCTCCACAGCTTCCCTGATCTGTCAGACGCTCATTATTTTGTTATTTCCATTCTCCCGTGTGATTGTGCTGGTGGGAAGAGACACTCAGGTAGGTTTTCCTTTTGGGATATGAATTAAGGACTAGCCTGATAGAGCTGCAGAACTGAAAGGGGGCCACTGCAAAGCTTCCAAATCCTTCTGGCGGTGGGATGCCCCAGGTGGGACCAACTGGGGACTGCAGCGGAGAGAGAGCTGCTTGGAGAACAGATCCAGAGTTGGATGGGCCTTCTATGCAGGGCAGCACATTGGAAGGGGTGATCTGCAGCAGCCCACCCCCTACACTTTAACGCCTGCTGGGAGCATTCTCCATGCACGTCAGGACCGAGATGACAAGGTCTGCCCATACCTTGACTCTTCAGTTTATATTCATACTGTAAGCTCAGGAGAACGACAGTGTTCCCCACCTGCAGAGCCCTGTGTCGAGGTGGGTTTGGCTGAAGCCTCCATACAGCGGCACCACCTGTACAACTGACATTTACTGTGCTGGCCTGAATTCCTTCACTTTTCCCCCATGGCCATTTGGAGTCAAGTGCCACTGGAAACACGGCTCCCGCCGGGAGGAATTTCAGATGCATTCAGATCTGAGACAGTTTTGAATGTAATTTTGAGTTTTACAATGGCTCTTCCGCTCGCTTGCTCGCCGCAAGTAATGAAGCAGCAAGATAAAAGGCAAGGCCAAGGAAGGTTGTTAAAAAATTGCTTGCAAATTAATGTGAGGACAAGGTGTATGAGTTAATATCATATAAAGACCCTTAAAATTGGCATACATGCATGCACCCTCCGAGCACTGACATTCGCAGGCAGAACTACACTGGTAAACTGAGCCCAAGGGGCTTGATTAACAGGAAATTTTCAGAATGCCAATTAGAGCAAAGTTTACCGAACAAATTGTTTGCACTTGTACCCTAGAACCATCATGAATTTTAATTCAGCATGGATTTACGTGGCTGAAACAATAATTAAAGATACATGAACGCTTCACGTTTGGGAGACTCCCCCATGGCTCTGCTGCGTTGGGTGGGAGCAAGGTGTCTGGGCAGGGGCTGCTGCTGCCAGGCTGGTGGATGGGTGGATGTGGGATGCACGTGGCTTTTCCCTGCAGAAACATAGGCAGTTTCCCTAGTCCTGAGCTCACCAATTTGTGCAGTGCTAGTCTCTTGTTTCTTTATTCTTTTTCCCTTTGTTTTTCTTTTTTTTTTTTCCCCCCTTTATGCAATCTGACAAAGAATGATCCATGGGGTGTTTTCTCAATAAATGCTGGCTTGTTGTTTCCTGCCTTTTGCTTTTGGTGCTTGGAAAATGTTAAATTAGCTCCTCAGCTCCCCTGAGACCGATGCCTTGCCTAGTAGTTTTGCTGGCCCTGGGCTGACCGAGGGCTCCTTTCTCTCCTCATTTCTGCTCTTCTTCAGCCAGCCCAGGGTTGGAAGGTGGGGAAAAGCTTCACCCACTGCCGTAATGCACTGAGCAGCTCAACTCAAGGCAAAGCAGTGCTACTGCACAGCATCAACAAAAAGTCACGATTGAGAAGCACAATGTATATGTATGCCTTCATTTAAATTCTTCTCTCCCTCTACTAGTGCTGATAAATAAGTTACACGTATTTTTTAGAAGAAGTTATTTTCTGTCACTGCACTTTTAAATGTCAAGCTCCTGGAGAGGAGTCTTCAAGATAGTTTAAGGTCAGTCAGGCTTCAAGGAAGAAAGATGCAGGTGGAGAAGAAAAGCTGCTGTTGTGCTGTGGTCCAGCCCGAAGCAGGGCTCCGCTCTGAGCGATGGGCAAAACAGGCACCATGCATGGAGATGGTGCCCGAAGGCATTGCCCTCTCTGCACCACTGCACTTACCCTCGGCTATGGAACTACTGAAGACTTCTACACACAGCCCAGTGGCTGGAAATTATCTAGCCTGTTAGTTCAGGAGTACTCATGAATAATGTATACATCCAAAGGTCGGTTTACAAATGATTAATTAACCTTATGAGAGGTTATCCGCATTGGCAGCATCATTCACCCTAAACAGCTTAATCATGTCTGCACAGAACAGCATATCTGAAACACAAACAATTGTTTGAGAAGGAATATTGAGGAATCATAGAGCAAGGACCAGACATCTGCACTGCCCTCTGGAGCAGCGACCGAACACCAAGCACAGGGAAAAGCTGAACCACATCTCCAGGCTGTTCTGTAGGACTCGAGAATCATTTGCTGGAACCTGGTGGCTGCATGGTGGGGTGTAGCTGGCAAGGTGCAGAAATTGCACCTTTGCTAAGGTAAATAGATCAGGCATTTATTTTCATGATGTAGGAGCTCTGCTCTCCTGACAGTGAGAGCTGCTCCCGGTGCCTCCCGCTGCGACTAACGGCTGCTGCGCTCAGTGGGGATATTGCCTGGGCAAACAGCCCTTTAGTCCAAGGGCTTTTTGCATTTGTTACCAGTGGTTTGTTATCCATGTCTATTAATAAAGTGCTCCTAAAAGCACTTTGCCTGTCTGGAGTAATTTCTGGCTGGGACTGGGATGCCTCCAGTGAGCAGCATCTCTGCATGAGCTTGCTTATCTTCAGCATGGCCCTGAGCTATGGCTGCTGGGGGACCTGGGGAGGCCCCCCCTGGGGAGAGCCCTCTGTCCCCACTCCAGGCTCCCAGTGAGGCCTCATCTCCAAGCAGTGACACTAATGACAGTCATTTGTTAGTTATGCAATGAACTCTGTTTTGGCAGAGCATGTTGGGCTGAAGGCTGGCCTGCATCAGAGCCCCTCTCTGGACTGGTGAAAGTAAATGGAAACTTTGTCTACATCAGAAAGGTGCTGTTCCTCCTGCTCCTTCTTCCTCCTACCCTCTCCTTCCCCTCCAACAACAAGCAGGACATAGAGCTCACTGGGGTTTTTTTTGGTACAAAGAACAATTTGCCCTTCTTGACAAAGCCCTTACATTCGACGCAGCAGAACTATTTTTTTACCTATGTTTAATCCATAAATGGCAGAAGCAATCTGTTCACACCTGAGCACCCATCCTGAAGTGCATGAGGTTTCCAAAGTAATTCAGCTTGACTTCTGTGTTTCTGAGAGTGGGGTGGTGTCTCTCAGTGAGCAAAGAGCAAATCTGAGAGAAAATGGACAAAAATGCTTATCTTGAGCTGTTGTGTTTTCCTTTGTCCAGCCAGGCTGAACCCAAGAATGACAATGATGTCTGAAGCACAACTTTGATATGGTGCAAAACTCTAAACTGAGGACAGTCATCCCTAGAAACACCTCCCAGCCTCGATGCCTCAAGAGTCAGTCTTCTCCAGGTATTGCAGGTCCCCATGCTCATGGGCTCAGCCCAGCAGTAAGGGGGAGCCCGTGCCACAGCTCTGCTATCTGCTGGTGGAACACCAAGCCCTTCCTGCATCTGTCTTCTGGCTGCCACATCCTCACTAAATTGCTCCATTTTAATACATATATTTATGCTTTTTTTTTCCTTTTCTTTTAGAAGCGCTAAAGTGATTTACAACATTTTACATTACATTCTTTAATCCTTCACAATTAAAACAAATCTTTTCCCCCCGCTTTGCCCGGTTTTAAAAACGTATCTTTTGTTCAGCTCATGCAGAAAAATATGGATGGAAGCAACTCCTAAAATCCCCAACCACAGGAAACAAAATTGGTGTTTTTCCAAGTTAAGTACTATAACAGAGTGAAACATACATGTTTAATTTGAAAATGTTGATTCCAAATGGATTTTTCTTTTGAAAAAAACTTCCCCCAAGCAAGTCAATATTTGTAATCAAATTGAAATTTCCTGTGGGAATTATTTATTTTCATGAGGTCTAATTTTTACAGGGGAAAATTCTACGCAGGAAGGTTTAAGTTGCTGTAAACCAGTGTTAGGAATCTGGGTGGTAGGAGGGGGCTGGGAAATCCCACTCTCTGCTGCAAAGTGTCACCACTTCCCTGTGATGGAGATGATCTGATGAAAAAGTTGAAACTCTTCTTCGAAGAGGGAAAAGCATGAGCTCCCCCCCCGATACGTTTCTTGAGAACACAGCAGCGTGGGATAGGGCTCACCTCGAGCAACGTTAGAGGTGGAAGTGAGATACCCAAGGTGGCTATTTTGGGCTTCCTGCGCTGGGGTGCCATGCAGTTGACCCATTTACTGACCTATTTATTGACCATGTAGTTGACCTATCTTTGGTCTGCCAGCTGTAGGATGAAGTGAGTCATGCCATTGACTTCGCTCGCCTTGAGTAGACACGGAGATAAGAGCTACTGCTCCATGACCACTGTAACCATACAGATCCCACCCACAGTGCCTGACACGTTCATGGGTACAGGGAGAACGTGCAACCCTGTGCCTTGTGTTGCTATTACTGCACTGATGAGACTCTCAGCTAGTTCTCCAAACCTCTTGTTGGTCTTCCAGCGCCTACAAAGAAGCCCTTCAGAGACAGTCGTCGTAGCTTCATCCTAAGGGCGATTTTCTTGTAGAACCTGTGTCCACTGTAGAGCAGTGGTTGTGGTTAATGACGTGCATAATTTACATTATTATGCCTTTCATTTTTGTATTATGATAAATCACCTGCCTTCCCACTTCTTTTTATTGTGATGCACTGGGAACACAATATAGCAGTAGGAAAACAATACAGAGCTGCCCTGTCAGTCTCAAGCACAGAAACAGCACACTCGTGCTACAAACACTCACAGATGCACAGCACCGTATCAGATTATTAGCTCCAAGGCAACTGTCAGCATGCAGTTTTATTGGAAATGAAAACAAGGTAATTCAAGATTTATTTTCTCTCTAAGGAAGTGCCAGGAGGCAGGAGCCAGCCCCCGGCATCTCCCGTAAAACACCCGGCGCATGGCAACGTGCTGCTCCTCAAGCAGAGCTCCTGGACTGGGGATTTTTTGAGTTATCTCTTCCAAAGGAGGAGAATTCTTCTCCTTGTCCCCAGACTGTATCCTGAAGGGAGTGATGCAGATTGAGTGACTCGAGTTTTGCTCTACCTAAAGGGAGATAAATGCACCCTACACTACTGTGGCTGCAGGCACAGCTCCTGGGAGACCTCGGGTGGCTCTTAATCATATATCCTTGAAGCTTCAGAAACATACCCTGATTATTTTCCAGCTCAAAGCATTCGTTGCCTTCAGGATATTACCATCTTTGCCCCCTTTCTAATGGCTTAGGGTGAACTGATCACCAAATTAAACTCCTTATTAGCAGCTATCTCGGTACGTCGTGACCTGATTTTATTGCTGTGCCCAAATGCGATATGTGCCTGGGCACCAAGACAGGCACACACTGTGCCCAAGCTGAAAATATTTAGGAACTGGTAGGAACATCACAGGAAATATTTCTGAGTGATTAATTTAGAGTTGTTGAAGACTGTTCTAAAAGATGCTCTAAATGCGTTCATACCAGCTGCACTGGTTAAAAAGGCAATGAAAAAATACACCTTGGTTAGATGAAAGGTGAAAGAAGCAGTAAAAACGCATAAAACAACCTATATAATAAATGGGATAAGAGCAAACCAACGGCAACAATTATTGGTCAGAAGGCAAGAGATGCAAACAGTGCTTGACAATAAGCTGTGTCATGAAAAGAGCCTTAATGGAGATAGAGAGGCAGCCTCCACGTTCAGGTGTTTGAGTTCGCAGCGATGCTGGCAGTTCTGCAAAGAGGGAGCCCAGCAGGGCTGCTCTGGTGTGTCGGTAATTTCAAATGGAGGCTTGCTGTCATGTTTTGGACTGTGCTGAACTGTTAATGAAACATGCCTGCCTCCCCCTAGGTGTGTGTATTTCTTTAAAATCTGAAAAACAAAGCTTGGAAACCTAACTCTTCGGACTGAAATGAGAAAAAAGAAAAAAAAGCTTGTTTTCTTAGTGCGTAATCAATCTTTTTTAAAGGTCTTCCCAGCTCTATCATCACTCAAAGATGCAGGAAGAAGATCCTGCAGGGCACTGTGGAAAGATCTGCATCCAGCAGTGCTGTTCGGACAGTCGTACTCGACCATCATTTCCCAAATGTGTGCATGCTGTGAGGTGTGCAGCTGCTGCTCGGGATGTCGCCACCAAGGGGAGCATCCCTCCTTGGGACACTGATCTCTGCACTCCTGATGCCGAATTATTCTGGGAAGGAGCATCAGGAAAACAAATTAGTGAGGTGTTCTTACCAGAAAATCCAGTGGCAACAGATACGTGCAAGCAACAGGGCCCAGAGACTTGTACTTCCCTATTCTGACGAGTGAGCTTGAGGTTTGCCAGCACCTCTTGGCGAGCAGGAAGCCTCCAGCTGTGTTAGCTCTTTTGACATGGCAATTGCTCCAAAGGAGCTTCTCCATCCTCCCTAGCTTTGCCTTAGTTGAAGGCTGAGAAGCCCCTGGCCGCCAGCCATTCCAATACATCTTGCAGGTAATCCATAGTTTCCTGGGTCAGAGAAGACTCTCAGCAGCAATCCTCTACTCTTAAAGTCAATCCCCTTTGCTAGTTGGAAAATGTCTGCAGCACAATCTAGTGTTCTGCCTTGGGTGAATTCAGCCAACTTTACACTCTCAAAGTCTTTATCCGAAGCAGAAGTAATGCAGCAAAATGGACTCAACCAAGAAGTTGTTGACAGTACCAAGACTTGGAGGAATTAAAGTAAATGACCAAAGTAATTTTTTGGCAGAGTACTCAATTTCAAAGGACTGTGTGCTGTCCATTCTTCCCAGGGCATATTCTGGGATAGATCTTCAAGAGTAATCTACAGTCATCTTGAGCCATCCCCTACTGCCCACAGCAAAACTGTCTGACCAAAACTTCAGGTAGAATGTACCAGCTCGACGTGCTCAAGATATATCACCCAAAGGACTGACACCACCGGTAGGACCAAAAGAATGATGTGTTCAGCATGCTCAGGTTGGACTTCATGCCCACAGGCAGCTGGTTTATCCTCATGGGACAAGTCCTGCATTGCCCAGGAAACACACTGTGCCAATCCATCGTGGATGAGAGAACACATCCATGCATGGATCCTGAGGACTAACCCTGTTCCCTTCTCCAGGCGCCTGGGAACTTTGGCCAAACACACATACAGACCAGCCAGGTACTGCAGGAAGCAGCAGGATGATAGATTGCAGCTGCAAGCTAAGACGTACACACACAAAACCCATTTTTTTCTCTGCAAGGTTCACCCATTTTTGCTCCATCTGAGGCTTGAATCCAGGTTCTCCTGCCTGGCAGCCAGGGATGCTGGAAGCAGCTCAATATTAAGCCTCAGGAATGGGGGCTCAGGTTCTGTTCCCCAGCCTAGGGCAGTGCTGGTAAAGACCTCCCCTCACCCAGGTGCCTGGGAAGCTTTTGGCTGCTGCTGGCATTGGCGCAGAAAGCAAGAAGACATTTACTTCCAGGAACAGATGCAAACACAGGGAATTGCCAATTGGCCAAAATCAAATACAACCTGACCTCTGATGATCTGGAGCCTTACTACTTTCAAACAACACTGCACTCAATGTTGGCAATATAATAGTTTACCTTGGAGACCCAAGGGCTAAAGGAGAAATGAAACCAGAAGCTGCTGGGGATGTTGCTTTCCCACTGTTTCTATTACTGATAACAGGCCAGCAAAACCCCGTAAGGTCCTTGAGCTCAAGGAGAGCCTGCTTGCACCTTCTTCCCAGGGTTTTGTGCCAAATTACCCCAAAACTTAAGAGCTGGGTTTTATCAGAACACCCAAACTTCTTTAAATACAGAAAGTAGGGAATGAGCTGGAATAGCGATGTTCTACCCCGGGAGGAAGGTCCTTTCTTTTGGGTTTCCTTTCAGTCCTGCAACCTCCCAGCTATCCCCTGGATCATCATAAAGCCTTGCTGCCCCCAGAAAAGCCCCTTTCTTTCCTTTGAAGGGGAGCTGACACCCACAGGGAACAAACCCTAAGTCAGAAATAATAGGAGTCCTTTGAAAAAAAAAAACCAATAACGTCTGAGTCTGAATATAACCACAAGGAAAAAAATGGAAACTTATCTGCAATGTGCACCCCCTCCCAACCAAATTAATACCCTGGACCAGAGCCTTGTCCAGAAGCAGTGTAAATATCTCAGCAACTCATTACCTTGTTAATTGGATCACTCCAAGCTTTTTGGAACCAGTCTAAAGCACAGGCAAATCCATTAAAAAATGGATTTCTTATTTCTCTATAGCTGTCTCTAGCTTTAGTCCTTTTTCTATTAAACATTGGCTAGTGTAGCTTCTCCCTTTACCTCAGCTCCTTCCCAGCAAGGCATTTCCTACATTTTGGATGTGTGCCCCTCTTCCTGCCCCGGAGGTGCTGTGTGGGTGCTGGTAGGGTACACTGGGAGCAATAACCCTCCTCCTGCCAAACTGCCTCTCCTCATCCTGTTCCCACATCCTGGGGTCTCCCTCATTTGGATGCTCCAACCCCAGCACAGAGGAGAAATGCATCTAGGGGAATTCTGAGCTGCACTTTGCACTTTTTGCCTAAGAACCTAAAGATGCGTGGGGAGGAACCAACACATTGCTTCCATCCCCTGTCCAAACCTTTCACTTCCCAAGGCATCCACATGCTTGCCTGTTGATTAAGAGCACCAGGGCCACCATGTGAGATTGGACACGACAGCAGCATAAGGGGAGCCATATGCTCCACCAGGAGACGAGCATACAGTGATTAGGAGAGGGGCTGGTGCCCAGGGCCATGGCTGATGCTACAGAGATGTGGATGCTGCTCCCCTCACAACTCAGCCTTTCCTACCCTCAAGGACCTCACCGTGGGCAGCACAAGGAGGTGGCATCCACGCAGCTCCCATTTCTGCACACAGGGAGGCCCTCCATTTATTTTTCCAGGACCCAGCAGCCCAGACTCCTCCTCGCCCTATGAAAAAAATCACGGCCTCCCTGCAGCATCAGCAGCGCTGGGTGATGGGACTCAGGGCTCCTGCTTCAGGCATCCTCAAAGTGCCACCATGTCCCTAAGGCAGAGCACAGTCAGGGCAAAAAGTCCTCCTGCAATTGTGCTAAAACATTGTAACAGCCAAGAACCATTTTCTGCATGGTGGGTCAAGCAGTAAAGCTGTTGAATAGACAGGGCCAGGAGCTGGTGTAGAATGTAGCAGCACAGAACGCCTTTTTCCCAGCAGCTGTGGTGGTCAGGGAAGTCCTTAAGCCCCTTCACTGCTTTTCTGGCAGCACCTTCCCACATCTGTGGGTCTGCACAGTGAACTGTATCACTGGCACAGCTGGAGTTAATTTTGACTTCTGAAAGAGGGAAGGAGGATTATGTTTATATATATATGCATATAATAATGTGTATTTTTAAACACAGGAAATCCTGGTCCCTCCCTGGGGCTCAGCCGGATGGGTCGCAGGGCCAAAGGAAATGCTCTGCAGCAACGCCCTGCATGCCAAGCACTTTACCAGGGCACGTTTTTGCAGCTCTTGAGCTCCTCATGCAGCTCTTGGGCTCCAGCCTGCAAAGCACTCCATGGTGTGGTGGGGATAAAACATGGTGAACATGGTTGGCACTGTGCTGCTGGTTGCACACCCTGAGGTCTCGCCACATCAAGCCACGTGCTGATGCTGATGCTTGGCCATCCAGCTGCCGTCCTGAGGGGAGCACAGACCCATCCCCACCTCCTTCCACTCACCTCAACACCTCTCCAGTGTCCAGATAAAGTAAACAGCAGATGGCGTCCCACACAGAGCTGGTTCTACCCCTCTCTGTACCCAGCAGGTCAGCAGTATCACAGCAGATCACTGTGGTCTCCTCCACCACATTCCAGGACCCTCAAATCCAGCAGCATGGAAAAACCTGCAAGATGACAGAGAGCCCTCTTATTCCTGCCGTAATTAATCCCTTTGGAATTCAATTAATGAGCTCCCTGCTGCAGCTATCAAGCTTCCATCAGTTAGGCAAACAGGCGTGCAAGCCAGTCAGGGTCTGTACAAGCACAAGACAAATATTTCGCCATGTTCAAATAGAGCCTGTCCTTCTGCACCCTGTGCAGCTCAGCTTTAAGGTGTTGCCCACTGGTGGGAACTTCAGGGCTCAGCTGGTGATTGGAAGAACCTGTGCCTCTCACCCATCCTGACCAGAGAGCATCTGCCATGGAAATGGGCCAGGATATGCACCAGTGATGGTGAACAACAGCCAACACCGCTGGTGCTGGATGATGCCTTATTTTTATGGTTTTCTGTCTTTTTTTACACATTTAGTTGTGCTGGAAGTGTGGCCACTGCTATGTTCTGAGCTGCTCTCCTGGGATTTTGGAAGTGGGGAAGTGTGATTCAGGCCACACATTGCAGGGCACCCAATTTCAAACCCCAGCTGCTGCAGTCTCATCAGCTTCCCAAACAGGCTGGCTCAAAGAGCAGCCGTCCCTGGCTGCTTGTCCACCCCCGGTGCCTACCAGGACCCAGCAGCCCCATGTGTGTGGGGATGAACAAGCAGCAGCTGCAGCTCATATCTGGGGAGCTCATCCCAGAGGTGCAGGTGATGGAGCACCCCACTCCCGCTGCAGTGCTGGGAACCACATGCTCCCACCACGATGGATATTTCCCATCAGCACACTTTATTCAAAATGAAACCCATTATGGCAAAGAAAAAAAAATAATCTTTAATGATTATACTGCATCAACATGAATGATGTCACGTGTCCGGACTGCCTCGAAAAGCACTAAGTTGCCAAAAGATGGTGAATGTGTTCAATATGGAGAGGGACCAGAAGAGAGGCTAAAGCTGAAACTTCCCAGCTACGCTGTTGATGCATTTTCTTATTTTCTTTTGTTGAACAGTGTGCTCTGTTTTGTTTCAAACACAGTGTTATTGCAGCGGGGTTCTGTTAGCCCCTGGGGGATGCATGGAATTTAACAGCAGCTGCATCCCTGCTACCACCCCTCACCTGACCAGGACGACCTGCAGCTTGGGCTTGGTGCAGATGTAGACCAAGAACCTGTTGGCTCCATGTAACCTTGTATCATGCCATGATATATATATTTACGCCATACAAAACCTATAGCAAAAAAAGATCTATCCGTTTAATTAGTGAATCTTGTGCAATTCTTGAAGGCAGTGCCCTCACACACTGGTGGCTTTGCCCTGGGGGAAGTTTGGGGTCAGTCCAGCTGTTCCCACCATTGCTCGGTGTCAGGATCCAGCACACAGCTAACACAAGATCCTGATGAAATGCAGATGGCAAGTGCAGAAAGCACTGACGTGAGGCATGGATGCCAAGCAGCAATTTGTTCTCTGTCAAACACAGCCTCCCCAGCCTGGCCAAGCAAGAAGTGCTGCGCTATGGGGGTGAGGGCATCATTTCTTAAATATGGCCTTTTAGAACCCAAATTTTCACGTTTGTACACTCATATTTTGCGGTAGAGGTGGAGTGCATCATTTCCCTGGTTAAACATCATTTCGTTTGTGTTGCGTGTGGATTTATAATGAAACGAGGGTCACAGCGACCCTGGTAATCTTATGGCTATTTTGCCAATATTCTCCTTGAGTCACAGCGATTTGACTGAGGGGAAAATCCTGAATGTCCAGAATAACCCACAGCCTCACAAAGCACGAACCAAACCTTCCTCGTCACCTCCCACCCACTGCGACCCAACAAATCAAAATGTCTCACGACTTTTTTGGAGAATAACAAAGGCAATAAACTTCTACATCAAAGGCAAACCCCAGGCTCCCAAACTGCTTTTGGAAATGCATCTTTTATCCAAGCTCATAAGAAGTACCACACCACCTCCTTTCCCTCACCCACCCCCTCCCTCATTCCTGTAAAATATTTAGCGCTTTTTCTTCCCAAATTTATAAACAAGTTGGCTGATTGTGCTGATGAAAACCGGTTTAAAAATTAATTGAAAGCCTTTAAAAATTAATAATTATTTCAGCTAATTAAGGGTGACAGCTTAACATCTTTTAAACTGTTAACAATTTGGTAACTGCTGTGTGCTTGCTGTTGGAATAGAAAATGGTGGGGACTGTGAGCTGAAAAAATGATGTATTAGTGTTTTAGACCCTGAGCAGGTTTTGGGCCCTTCTGCATCGTCTGCGTTATTATTGGCAGCACTACCACATCTATCAAAAAATGGATCTCTACCATCATCATTTTGCTGGGATTTCTCATGTTCCAGATAATTTAAAATGCTTTCTTGTTGTCCGTAACACATTTGGATACGGATTTTTTAAATGGATACTTTCACTTCTCTCATCAATTGTTCTTTATTTCATAGCATCTGATTTTTAATCACAACCATTACCTTCCTCCTTTTCCTGATTTGTTACTTATTATCTGCAGCTTGGCTCGCTCCTCTCGCTTCCATTTTTTGCCAGGATTTGTTGTGATCTTTCCTTTGTGATCATCATAAATACGCTTGTCAGGAAGGAACCGAAACAAAGAGCGTTTATAGCTCTGAGAATTTGAGAGTTTTCTGTTTTCCAATAAATCAGTTGGCAGAGCTGTAAAAACGTGCAGCATGTGTGAGAACTGACTGTTGGGTTTGGCTGTAAGGGCTTCCAACTCTTTATTGTAGCCGAATTGGGCAGTTGATACCCGTGGCATCTCTTGCAATTGCAGAGGCCCTCAGCAGGGGATACTATGGACCTTGGCCCAACCTCAGCACCAAAAAGCACCTGGGTGTACCCTACAATGCAAAAGAGCCTGTATTTAGAATCATGGAATTGGGGTTGGAAGAGATCATCCAGTCCAGCCATCAGCCCGTCCCACCATGCCTGCTAACCATGTCCTCAAGTGCCACATCTCCATGGTTCTTGAACACCTGCTGGGATGGTTACTCCACCATTTCAGCCCTAAATCCCATGCTACGTACTAAAGGCAGCGCTCTGTTTCCAGTTCAGACCTGCTGTGCCATGCAGACCTCCTTCTGCTCTGAGCTCGCATTGCAGCTTGGCCCCGCTCTCCCATCTCAGGAGTTTCCTGATGGATTCCTCCACAAAGCTTCAAACCAGAACTGGAGTTAAGAGGAGCCAACAGTCCGTATGGGGAGGTGCTGCAAGGCCAGCAGGACCCGAGGCATCCCACTGCATCTCCCTGTAATGCTCTTCCTTACGCTGCTCGGTTACTCCAGAGCCCATCCAGACTCTACAGTGCCCTTTGGCAGAAGTTTAATTATGCAAAAT